ATAGAATGTTCAATAGGCTAATGGGTACTTCCTGACAACTTAGATTTTTTTAGGAAGTTTTGTTAATTCAAAAATGCGTAAATGACATATATCCATAATATATATAATTTCGTTTATTAATTAATAATTATTTATTTACAATATTATTAACATTATTAATGAATTTATTTGCGAAAACTAACAGACTTACCATCACCGCGTTATCAAATCTCAAAATGGTTACAGGCTCTTCGGAGAGGTATGCAGTTCTGAGGCGAATTATTGCTTAATCTGATGAAGTGATAAACAATAATCTAGTGAAGATGTAAAGAGAAGTTTTGAGAATACCTCTAATTTAAAAAGAGGAAAAGTGCTTAAATGCACTGGCTCAAAACATCTTCAACATAATAATATTATTTGTAGGATATATAATTTTTATAGAATTTTCTATTAAAGAAATATACATTATAAATAAAAATCAATATTACTACTTTTATTGTAATATATTCTTTTTTCGTAAAGTAGTTTGATTTTTTTTTATTTAAGTAAAAGAGTATTTGTTTTTCGTTTGTATTAATATTTTATTAAATTATCAATTTTTTATAACAGTTCAGCTCAATCAACTTAAACACATTGTTAAATAGTCGTAATCGGGAATCGAAATTGCAACAAAGCTAATCGCATTAAACCGATTTATTTTTGTTACTCAATATATTTGTTACTATACTATATATGACTTTAACACTATATTAGTATACATATACTATTTATTACTATATACTATATATTTATTACTCTCCTATATCTCATCCCCAGTGATAGTTCGTTTTATATATGTATTGTTATCTTGACGTTTGAAAGGAAGATGAAGACGTTAAAGTATGGTGAGCAATTTTTACTCTGTGAGAACATGTAGACAGCACTTAATATAGATTTAAGAAGTTTAAATCTATATATAATAATAATAAGATAATATTATAATATTTAATATAAATTTTTTTTTTTCAAGTTTTTGTAACACTATAGCATAATCAAAAAATTTTATGTTCAATTTTAAAATCTCTTCGATTTTACGCATTACGATTTCAAAGTGACGATATCTTTGACGAAAATTATTCAAATAGAAAATTAATTTAAATAATTTAATCTTTCTAGAAAATTGTGGAATTTGTTTTATTCAAATTGAAATTTATTTATAAATATAAAGTAACTAATTAAAAACAGAAGTATTCAATTAAAAATATGTTGCTTATCTTTAATAGTAAAACTTTTTAGATTTTTTTACGTAGGAAAATATGATGACTCTTCCTAAACGTAATTTAATTAAATGATTAGATAATAATCCGGAATGACAATATAATTTCAATTGTGAGTAGGAATTGAATAAAAAACAATAATAACGAAACCACTTTAGTCATACATTTATAAATATAGGTACATTATTTTTTACTGTACATATCTTTATGATGTTCGATTAAAAAATAGTCTGAAAGCATTTAAATTTGTAGAACTTCGATAAGAAAAACTTTTAAATCACTGGTAACTACAATATTATCACCACAAAAAAAATTTTTTTTTATACGTTATTTTCAAGAAGTTTATAGATTAATTTATTTAAAAAAAATATAAAGTAAATGTAAACTGTGAAAATTTTAAACGCCCTTCGTTTGTGTGTTAATTATTTATTAAAAATTATTATAGATTTCAAAATTATTTTACTAAATCATAAAATGTATTAAAACGTATTAAAGTAGTAATAAAATATTACTGCCCTGGATTTATTTTCAAGGTAAAAGAAAAAAATAGGCATTAATTTTAAAACACGGTGATGGATAGGTCAGTTCTAGGGAAGGCCAGTATTACGTCGCAGAACCGCCCGGCTGGTGCACAATAAGTAGGTCTCTTATTTGTATTATAACAACAACGGTTTATGTCAATGCAGTTCCATATGATTTTTAGGTTTTACAAATTAGTGATTAATTATTAACCATAAGATATATCCTAACCGTCTTTTTCCATACATTACTGCAATTATCGGAAATAGTGCAACTTAGTTGCAAACCTCGTCTTTGAAAACATTGCCTTGAAGACAGTTTCGTTAATAGGGGCCAAACCAATCGGCTATCGTTTAAAACAGTTCCTCCCCAATTACAATAGTGCCTAAGCAACATATTTTTTTTTAGTAGATCGCTTTACGAATTATTTAATGTCTATATGTGAACTCTATTTTAATAAATTAATTATTAATTGATTATGAGTTGAATTCTTAAACAAGAATTTACGGGTTGTATGCCTCAATAATTAATAGTTGTAACTTCAAGGGCTGATCACAATTATAACGTCAGCGCGAATGCTGATTTAAGCGAAGCTTAAATCATCAACTTTGCTTACTCAATAAATATATAAGGCAGTTTTAATTTATTTCAATTAAGAAATCGGCTCATAGTGTCTCAGTTATTTACTAAAAATCAAATTACAATATCTTTAAAACCAGAAAGCATGCCTATATAGTATAGAAATACAATATGAAAATGTATCAATATTTTTTTTGTTTTAAACCCAGCATTTTGAACCTACTTTATTTCAACTCAAAATAATATAATAATATAATACTAATAATATAATATAAATAACATAATTTGTATGCATTTCATTTTCCTTATTTAGGGATAAAAATCTAAAATTTGTAGATCTTTCTCCTCCCTTATTTAGAGGGGAAAAAAATCTATTAGCTCTTTTTTGCTCTTTAATTAAAGAAAATAAAATCTAAAGTTTGTAGATCTTTCTTCTTCTTATTTAGAAAAAAATCTAAAGTTATTAGTCATTTCTTGTTCTTCATTTAGAAAGAAAAAAATGTAAACTGCTTACAGCACAAAATGAAAGAATCAATAAGAAGGTGTGGTAATCTACATAATAGATTACCACACCTTATTACCACACATTAATATTTTTAATCGAACACATCCACTGTTTAAAACATGGACGCATCCAGTTTTCAAGACACGTACGCAAAATATCTTAGAAGACAGACATTTCTTCGATACTGTCTTTGAAGACTGTTTTATATAGAGATTACCTTCTACTCAAAAAGTTTCCGGATTTTGTTGTTTGTTAACTACTCCTTAAGAAATAGACTTTTTCCAAAAATTTTTTTTTGTTATGTTGGTACACCCTTTTTTGACATATGGTACAAATTTGAGCGCCATCTGTCAATTAGTTTGTTTATAGCAGCTGTTAATGTGAGACTACCTCAAGTGCATTTAGCGATTTTTACTATAGAAAATTCTTGTACGCAATTTTTTGACCAAACACGGCACCACTGTCATTGCTCAGGCACCATATTCGCCAGATCTGGATCCGTGCGAATTTTTCCTGTTCCCGAAACTCAAATTGCCCCTTCGTGGTAAGCGTTTTGAGTCGATTGAATCGATAAAAGAGAATTCGCTGAAGGATCTAAAAGCCATACCTTCACGGGCCTACGAAAAGTGTATGGAAGATTGGGTTAAGCGTTGGTATATGTGTATCGTTTCAGAGAAACGATACGTTTTGGAGAAAATTCGGATTATGAATAAACATCCTTAAGAAAAATTTTACTTTCCATATTTTAAGATAATTCCATTTTCTCAGAATACATTTCTGTATCTTTTCTCTGAATCATTTTAAAAAGAATATAAGCCATGTCAGTGTAACCGTTTTAAAGTGTTTTTTTTTTATTTTTATTATATAGATACATTTATTATTTCAAAAATTTATTTTACTTTTATATAAATTAATATGCATATGTATATAAATTATACATGTACATTTTTTATATATGGACATGTGGCATAAGTTTTCAAGATAGACTTTGCTCTTCCTGTGTGAAGGGTATCTTAACTTCAAAAAAGCCCGAGTGAAATTCTTTTGTTCTTAATAATATATATATTTTTTTCTTAAGTGAACACATATTGAATAACAAAAAGATTTTTTTTTATCTAAATCAGCAAAACATTTTGAAAACATTCGCAATGCCCTTATCAATACTAAACGATAATTAATAAATGTTGCAGTAGCAGCGCAAGGGCACAGTGGAATGAGTTCTTAAATGTTATTTTATTATTTTTTAACTTTTTTTTGTTTTTGTTTGTTCAATACAGTGGCTACTGCTGGTTAATGACACAACTAAAAATTTGTAATAAATATATAAAACTATTTGTCATCTTTTCGTTGTCTGATGATTCTGATGTGATGATTAGCAAAACGTGTCGAAAAATTAGTTTATATATAATATATATATATATTTTTATTTACTTATTTATATATATAAATTTTGTATTATACATCTATTGTTATTTTTTTTTTGTTTTCTATATTCGACGCTTACAGTGGGATTTGTAATAAAAAATTAATGACAATTTTATGATGCCGCGATCGTATGATGTGCGCGAGAACTATTTAAGATTTTAAGTGTTTATTTAATATATTTTTATATTAATAATTATGTATGATAATGTTGATATTAAATTTTTTTTTATAATTTTTCATAAAACTATGTAACTATTGAACTATTTAAAATTATAAGTGTTTAGTTAATATATTTTTATATTAATAATTATGTATGATAATGTTGATAAAAAATTTATTTTTGTAAATTTTCATAAAATGCTTACATAGGTCGTGTGCGAGTTCGAGTAAAATCAATTAATTAATTAATAAATATTTATTTATTTATTGCACTTATTTGTTATGTTTCGTTAAAAGTTTTCAAATTTATTTATTTATTTATTAAACATCTTATAAAATTTTCACAATGCTAATACCTAATTTACACTAATTTTTATCTAATTTACCCTACTCGAAATTCTAGTAATTACCCATATTCACTGCCATGCCGACATATTTTACAATGTCCCTCAACTTACCATCAAAATACTCGAACTCGCACACGATCTACATAAATATGTATGTATTAAGTTGATTTTATAACTTAAGCATACGTTCACCACTGTACCACAAGATAAATAAAAATGAGCAGAACTTACCCTTTTCCTTTTAACACAACAGTTGGCTGAACAAAGCGGCAAAGCGTGGTTTGTGTATGATTCACGTTTCGATGGCACACAGAGAAAACAAAACAAAACACAACAAAGTCAATAATGCAGAAATGGAACTTTTGAATTTCCTTATTTTATTTCTATTTTTTAACATGCATACATAAATAGTGAGTAAGATAACAGCTATACGCGACACCTGGCAATGAAATATAATAATTACTTTATTACACATGTAAAATATATTTTATTCTCAAGAACTTAAGAATGAATTTCTTTTCTTATTCATTTCTTTAATAAGGGAAGAAAAAGCTGGTCGTCTTTGACATTAAGAAGGCACAAACAACAAGTTCAACATTCAAGCAACAACAACAACAACAAATATAAACAAATCATTTCAATGGCAAAACGTGCTAATATCAAAATTTCTTATTGGATTCTTGCATTTACTCGTTGCTCTCAATGAGTTTTTGTTGTTATTGTTGTTGCTTAATTGAAGTCTCGTGATTAGAAACTGCCAAGTTCTCGTTTATTTAAAGGCTTTTTTTATTAGCAAAAGAAAAAAATAAAAAATTAAAAATACACTATTTTATTATTTATTCATTTCTTTTTTGAGTTTTATGTTATTTAAGGAGGATTTTAAACAGACACTAAACGGTAAACATTTTTTTTAATTATTTTTTTTTGCTTAATTTATTTTTTCTTAATTTTTTTTTCCTTTTTTATTACTTAGCCCAGTACAAAAACAATATAAAGCATTAACAAAATTCTTTTTGGCACTGATTTAAAATAAAATAGTAATAATTATACTTAGTAAGCAGAAATTTTGACCAAAGAATTTAATTTTTTTTATTTCGTTTATGTGATCTTGATTATATGCTCCGAATTTTTTTTTTTTGTTTTTTTAACATAAATTAACACGTACCACAAAAATATTTTATTGTTTACGTTTTGTTCAATTTCTTTTGTTTAATTTAGTACTTTTATTATGAAATAATTGATTTTTAGTATATTTTTTTAACACTTAAACACAAAATGTATATATTTTTTCTGTTTTTGGCAACTAAACTAAAAATTTCTTCATAACAACAAGCAAATTTATTTCTTTTGCGGTACAACATTTAAATTACTTGCCAAAATATACAAAACATACTCAAACACATACACGTATGTATGTATGTACTTTTACAAACAATAATTCATAGTCAAAATGTTTGTATGTAAATTTTTTACCTTTAACAGAAATTGTTCATAATTTTAAATAAATTTTTTTTCTTTAAATTCAACAAGCAATTCTACAAAGAAAATAAATTCTTCACTTTACTTTATAACACGACGGACGGCATGCAACAACAACAAATAGTTTTTAAGAATTGCTTGAAGAAGAAGAAGCAGCACAATATATGAAACACGTAAACTAGAAATTCAGCCAGACAAGTTGTTACCGCTTACACATTTCTCACAATAATAATTTACAGTTCCTTTTTGTTGCACGTTTTAAGCGAAAATATAAATATCACTCACTCACACGAGCCAATATAAAACCGATCTGAGTGACGGACGCACTCCACTTTACATAAAACAAAAAACAAAAACAACAAAAACAACAAAAAGAAAAAAGAAAAAACTTCATACTACAAAACGAGACAAAACGAATTGTGTGCACGTTTCTCTACACTAAACATTTGTTTGTGTGTGCGTTTGTGTTTTGCAGAAAAGAGCAGTTTACCCTATACATTGGGTTTTGTTGTCATAAAAAAACTTTTTTCTTTTTTTGTTTTGACTTTATCAACATAATTTACTCAATCTACCATGCACCACTTATTGCTTTGCTGATCATGGGCGGCTAAGTTTTTGTTGTATTTTGCGCTTGTTCTTCTTTATTGACAGCTACTAACCACGTAGTGGAAATTTGTATTGTGTTTCATGGTAAGTAAAGTGGATGGAGCTTGAAAATGAAAAGAAGGCTTTTGTTTACGTTTCTTGGTGCAATGGGAGATAAGGGAATTTGTTTTTTTTTTTATTTTTTCTGTTTGACTCTAAATGAGTGAAAGGTGACGATCAACAAACACTCATTAATAAATCTATTATAGGCGGGTGGCATTTAGAAATATTTTAGAATAAAAGTATTTTTGGCAGTCGTCCCTTGTGAATTTCAAAACCATTTTGTGCTAAAATATTTAAAAATAAATTATATTGTTAAATACTAAATTATGTGCGACTAAGCAATTGTACTTAGATTGTATAAGAATTTTATGCACTTAATGGTATTTTTTCTATTAATAATAATTTTCAGTTTAGCTTAGTACGCGAACACCCATTTTGCACGAGAATTTGATAGAAAATACCATATAAAAAATATGTTCTAAAATGTCAAAAATTTTTTGGATCATTTTTTGATGTGAAATTTTATGTCAATTTTTCTCAAGAAATGAATAGCAGTACAAGGCTTTAAACAATAGTAATATCAGCAATCAATTTGCCAACTGTTTAGACCAGGGCTGTCGAAAGTACGACCCGCGGGCCAGATGTTAATGTTTAGGCGACCCGCGGCTAATGTTTATGCGACCCGCGACATGTTTTTAATCTACTACAATTATACAAACAGGGCCCAGTCTGGTAAAATCACATTATTTTATTTTTATGGTATACCAAATAAATGAATTTAAATTGATAAATAAATAAAACTAAATTTAACATTATAACCGTATTTATAATGTTATATGTAATGAATTTATAATAACAAGGGTACTCCAATCTGTACAGTGATTTGCATTGGCCTGCGATCGTATCTGGTGTGAACAGCCCCGATTTAGACTATAGGTGATTTTATCGCGGCTACACGTACTACTTCTAATAAACGTGCAATACTAACAAATTATCATGACTACCATAAAGACCTATAAAGTTGTGTTGTAAGAAATCACCTGACCTGATCTATTTGAAATTTAGAACTAACATCCATTTCGTACGAAAAATTGACAGAAAAAAATTCTACATTTTTTAAAATAACAATTTTAGGATCATTCTTTTTATATTGATTTTTATATTAATTTCTAGTGCGAAATAAAATTAGTACTAAAATAAAAAAAAAAATGAAATAAAATAATACCAAAATATCTTAGTACTGGGATTGAAGCAATATAAATAGCGGTTTGCCAACTATATAGGCTATAGGAGAATTTTAACTTAGAAATATTATTTCCTATGAACACAAAAATTTTCATGCAATTTCATATAAAAAAATTATCCAAAAATTTTGGACATTATTAAAAATATTTTTACACTGTTTTATAAAAGTTTTTCATGCGAAATGGATGTTAGTAATAGGCTTTATATAAAGCAATGGTTTCAATTATTCATGCCGAATAAAAATAGGGGAAAACATAAGAACAAAGTGCTCCGGTATAAGTTTGGCTCAAAAAGAATGTTTGTACGCTCTTCAATGGAAAATCTTTCATCATTACTGTGTTAATTAAAGATGCAAATCCAATGGCCACCATCACTATATTCGAATTCTCCACTCTATTGCTAATAAGAAAAGACTGGATAAGCACCAGATTACCAATCTTCCCCTTTTGTAGGTACATCCCGGAACTTCCCACACATTTTCGTCCAGCTCTTTCCACTAAATCTTTCCAATCCCCATTACTTCAACGATATTGATTAATCTTCCTACACAGCATCACATATTCCATGTAGCAAGTAGTTAATGATGCTTGGTCTCATAGTTAGTATTTTTCATGTAACAATTTCTAACTTTAAGATAGAGTCTTAAATAGATTAAAAATAGACTATATTGACTAAAATTATGGTTGTAAAGGTTGTTCAAAATAGCTGACTGTAATAAAATCCATTGGCATATGATGACATCAATCAGTTTTGCTCATGAATGTTTGTAATTACACAAAAAAAAGTAAGTGTAAAAATAAAAATAAGAAATCATGAACACACCTTCCAAGCCATGGAATAAATTTAAATATTAAAATAAAAATTTCAATGTAAGCTTTAAGTTTGCCAGCAAATCCACAAAGAAAATAAAAACTCACTTTTTACACTTATTTTGCATAGTCACAATCCATTATGGTTTCATTGACTTCTTTCATTTGCTTAAAAGTTTAAAAAAATTACTATAACCAATAACCAAATAGATTTCTGTATAGACAAATCAGTAGACTAAAAAATAGACGAAAAAATAGACGGAAAAACTTACATCGCTAAGCAATTTCGCATTGTTCAGATAATAAAATATGTACTCTACATGGTGTGTATGGGTCTAATGTTACTTTATTTCTAAACCATAGCGTCAGACTCCAATCTATCTAAAGGCTCAGTTAGTTGGTACGTACCGTAAGAACTTAAGTCAAAACGAAATACACAGGTGTGGTTGGTTGTGCATATCGCTTTGGTTATAGTTCGCTTAAGTTTTTACAACACGTACTGACTAACTGAGGGTTAACTGAGCCTTAAAGCTTCTCTAGTGAAACGTGATTGGAATTCGCTCTATTTATACTAAAGAACGCTATTTTAGAAATCAAGATTAAAAGAAGTGAGATCATTAGGTTTTAAAATGAGCAATTTATATTTCTCTAAATCAGAGAGCAAGGAAAACAATTTCAACAAACAGAAAGAATGTGAGTAGTGAAAAAGGTGGGAAATTTCATAAACCTTGTATATAAGTAAGTCACACCAGTATTAAATGTATAAAATGTAAGACGTACAATTCAAGTAAACAGTAAAAATTAAATAAAACTTTAATAAGACTATATTTGCCCTAAAAGATCTGCAAGGTTTCACTAATATAGAAACAGGAGTGGCGTAACTGAGTAGGACTCAGTAGGGCTCAGGGCCAAAATTAAAAAAATATTTCTACAAGTAGTTCTGATTCAGAGATGTACAAGAATATTAAATGACAAGATTAAAATAGTGTCATTATAAACAACTCAGGCTACGACAAGACTCTAATTCATGATCGTTTGTTTACAAGACAGGCACTAAGTCATAGCGTCCTTGTAATGAGGAAAGAGTGTATTACGTTATGAAGCTTGTAGGTACATCGTAATTTATTTATTTATTAATAATTTATTTAGTGTTCCAAACTCAACATTTTGAAGCACAATTATTCTTAAGTCCATAAATCACTTCGTGGTGTAATAAGGTAATAGGTTTCGCTATAGCTATGTAGTTAACTTTCAATTTAATCCGGAGAATGTCCTTTCAGTTAAGTATGAAAATTTTATGTGTTTTGATGTAAATACAGGGTACTATTAGTGCTAATTTCGGTACTCGGTGTATGGCTAACTTAGTGAAATTTATTATAAGTGATATATATTATACTGGACCTACATGTTTCAGCAGAATAGACCACCTGAGTTGTGGTGCATTATAACAATATTCTCCATATTTACTTCGCTTAGACTGTAATTAAAAATAAGTTGGGGTATAAATAACTAATTGGAATAATTTCTCATGTACTCATAAATTTTTTTTTGATAATTATTTAAGATTTTTTATAAAACCTCTTCAAATGTTCCAACATAAAATAAAAGGATTTATGGCAATTGGTTTTTAATATGACAAATTCAAAAACTATTCAATCGTTCAGACTTTTTATCAAATACCAAACACTTCAACTGTACAATTTTTAATACGTAAGCTTCTACCGATATCGCATACAATAGATAAGATTCGATACCAAACGTAGAGCGCATTATCTAATATTTCCCAATTTAATGCCAATGGTTGAATTCAAAGTATTTTATGATTTAATTGTAAGCTGACTCAAGTGTCGGAGAGCGTTCCAGTACTTATTTATTGCTATTTTCATATCTGTGCTTTCTAATGTCAGCCGAAAATACAGTTCATAAATTTAACTGCAGACATTACGAATATATCATAGGGCTTTGAAGACTTAACAGAATTTGTTCGAAGATTTGTTTGGAAAATAAACAATTTTATATCTAAAATACTTAGAATTTATATTTATTATATAATTATATTATTTTACATTTAATTATATTTCATATTTCAACGTTGCTGTCTGTGTTTGGTTTCTTGGTTATTTGTCAGAACAGGATGAGAGTGCATGAGAGAAAAGTACTGGAGTAAGACCTTCAAATATTAAATAATATATAAAATTTTCAAATGAAGATGAGATAATCATACAGCTGTTTTGGATATTGCCGAATACCCATCATCAGTGGTCTATGGGAAAATCTGTTGGTTGAGTTCACAGTTCGAAATAGGGTTTAGTCTTTTAAAGATGTTCAAGAACTATTCATTTTCAACTCAGAAATTGAACATTTTCGCTTCATTAAGGTATCATACCGCATCTATGAGTGAAATCAATTATCGTGCAATCAAGTGTTATGATGACTAATTATCAGAAAAGTCCATTTATAGAAAATTTTTTTTTTACATTTTGTGAGAGATATTGAGTTGAGGTTAAGTTAGCTTAAGATGACGCCTTCTGATACA